ACCAAACTGCCAGAGAAAATTAAAGTTGCCTTTTACTCCCTTCCAGTGCGGATGTATGTGCCTGCCCCCTTACGTTGTTTCAGATGCCAAAAATTTGGCCACGCTTCTTCTAAATGTCAGCAACAAGCCATTTGTGTGTGCGGAAGTCCACTCCATGAAGGATATCCATGCCAACACCCAATTTCCTGTATAAATTGTAATGGAAATCATTCAGCGCGATCCAAGAGCTGCCCTATTTATAAACAAGAGGCAGCTATCCAAGAAATAAGGGCAAAGGAACGATTGGGATATTTAGAAGCAAAAAAAAAGGTAGTTGTCAACACTCCACAGCCTAGGGTATCATATGCCCAGTCTGTTTCTACTTTTCCCCAGATAGATTCAAAATTTCTTGTACAAGAACTACTACCACCTCTTATCACTGCCTTGAAAAGCGCCCTTAACCCTGAAGAACATGATAAAGAAAAATTACCTGCGCCTTCAACATCTCATGTTAAGCTACATAAGTCCAACACCGTAGTTGAAGAAGCAACGCTGGGCTCCTCGTCAGAAGAGTCAGTGGACTTACAATCTTCAAAATCAGAAATAACACCGAAACGGCGTGGGAGAAAAAAGAAAAAGGGTTGGCCCAGGGGAAAACCTCGGAACACAACCTCTTAAAATATTTATAGTTTGATAAACATCTTATTTTAATCTTTAACTTATTACAGTACTTACCAGTTAGTTTTATTATATCCAATACCACTGCATATATTTATATTATCTTCGCATTTATAACATTTACTCACTATTCATTATAATTTAACTTTAAACAAAACAAAAAAAAATAACACATACAATGGAATCAATAATTTATTGGAACTGCAATGGTATCGTACAAAAATATTGCGACCTAAAAATATTACTGCATGACCATGACCCCATCTGCGTATGTGTGCAAGAGACTCACTTACGTCCTAATTTTCCGTATAACCTAAAAAGGTATAACATCATTAGGAAGGATATCTCATCTGAAAGCAGAGCTCATGGAGGTGTTGCAAATATTATTAAGAAAGATGCTAACTTTGAAAATATCCAAATAATGTCTCCATTACAGGTCGTTGCAACCAGGATCTTAACTCCATTTAAGGTAACTGTTTGCAACATCTACCTTCCAAATGGGGAATGGCAATTGGAGGACATTGAGTATATTATCTCGCAGCTACCCACACCATTTCTACTTGTAGGAGACTTCAATGCGCACAGTCTATTATGGGGATCTACTAGAACTGACTGTCAAGGGCGCTCAATTTCCGAACTATTAGAAAGAGATGACCTTACATTGCTAAATGATGGTTCACCCACACACTTTTCTGCGCGTTGTCAAAGCTTCTCAGCAATTGATTTGGCTATATGTTCATCCACAATTGCTGGACGTGTCATCTGGTCTGTCTTAGATGATCTTCATAACAGTGACCATTTTCCATGCAAGGTGACCCTCGATACACACAAAGCCAATACACAAATTCCTCAATACTGGATCATGCGAAAAGCAGATTGGCATACATATGAACAGCAATTTTCCTCCTTGGAACTTTCTCAGGACAGCAGTGTATCGGTAGAGTTTATAACAAACGTTATAAATGAAGCGGCTCTTACTAGTATCCCACTCAGTAGAGGTATCCCAGGTAGACGTACACTACCCTGGTGGAATAGTGAAATTGCTGAATCTATCAAAATAAAGAAAAAATGCTAAATACATTCAGAAGGCATCCT